GTTTTTTTTTTTTTTTTTTTTTTTTTTTCCCGGAAATACTTATATATTTGATATTAAAAAGTCATGATGCAAAGCATCTGATAATACATGAGGAACATAGTTATAAACGACATAAGTTGTAACAGGATGAATAGCTTTTGTAGCAAGTAAATCTGCCGGCTTATTACTCTCTCTTTGAACCCATTGATGCTCGACCTGTTGAAACTTTTCATTCCAATTCCATACCTCACGTATATAGTTATACATACCAAAGTTGATCTTCCTTCTGGTAACAAGATCCACCACATTTTTACAATCTCCTTCAAATATTACCTTTCGGTATCCTTTCGACCATGCTGATTGCATTGCAATGATTAGAGCTTTGAATTCTCCTTCTAATGCTGAGTGTGTTTGCTGAAGTCCTACACTCCCTGCTCCTTCGTAAAAACCTTTACTATCTCTGAATAACCAGCCAACTTTTGCAACATTTGTTTCACTGTTATACGAACCATCATAATTACATTTGATCAGATCCATCGGTGGTCTTGACCAACTGTTTTTTCGAATAGATCTTCTATTCGTCGTTCCATTAAACTGCATTGAATCCTCAAAATGTTGAGCTTTTTTCCATTCTGCATTATCACCAATGGCTAAGCATAGAGTTTTCCTCCAGTGTATCCTTTTCTTTTGAAAAACTAGTGTATTTCTAGCTTTCCAGATTCTCCATAGTATCCAGATACCCAAGGTCTTGTGTTCCTCTTGTAATCGACCATCTTGAGTAAGCAGATCTTTGAGTTTCTGTTCATACGTTACCGAAGTATTGTATAATACTGGTAACGGTATATTGGAGGTTCTCCATAGTTGTTGAGTGTAGAAACAGTCAAAGAAAGCATGTTGTACTGTCTCATGTTGTAGACAGTGTGGACACCGTACTTGTTGTGATATATGTCTGTCTGCTAAAACTTGACCAATAGGTAGACTGCTAGAAACCATCTTCCATAAAAAATGTTTTAATTTTGGCGTAGTTTTTGTCTTCCATATCAGTCTTTTGATCTCTATATCTCCATTAGGAACAACTATCGGATTTGGGTCAGGTAAATGGGTGGCTAACCAGTATCCCGATTTTACAGAGTATATACCTGAGTCGTTGTAATGCCATCCTATCAAATCATGTGTCGCTTTAGTAGTTAACTTCAGTGCAAGTATAGTCTCCACATCTTCAAGGACTACTTGTGTTCGAATCAGCTCCTCATTCCAAGCCGAACCTGAATCATTCATCCATTGATTCACTTGCCATTGTAGAGGTTGTGGGTGAAGTGATCTTGGAGGTCTTGGTGGGTGTAGAGGTAACCATGGGTCCTGCCATGCATTGACTGTTTCACCATTGCCTATCATTACTCTCAATCCTTTTAATAAAAGGTCTCTTCCTATTAGTAGAGACCTATAGGCATAGGAGTTGATTTTCTTAGTTCTTGCTCTGAGGATTGTTTCATCTGCGAAATATAATCCTTTTATCACCCGAGTCATTAAACATGTCGGATTTTGCATCACCCGCCAAGCACGTTTAGCTAGTAGAGCTGTATTAAAGCTTTCTAAGTCTTTGAAGCCCAAACCACCTTCTCTTTTTGGTAAACATAACCTTCTCCATGCATAATAGTGCATTCCTTTTTTGTCTCCTTGTCCCCACCAGAACTTAGCCATAATGCCATTTATCTCCTCACAAATTGTGTTTGGCAGTTTAAACATGTTCATGGAGTAGACCGGTTTAGCTATTACCACAGACTTTAATAAGACTTCTTTTCCTCCTTGTGACAGATACTTTGCGTTCCATCCTTCTACCTTAGCTTTGACACTTCCTATTATATGTTGAAACATATCCGTCCTGTTTCTTCCAAACTGCTCAGGGATCCCTAGATACTTTCCCCCTCCACCTTCATTATAAATTCCCATGAGATTCCTCATAAAGGTTTTAATCTCCGGTTTGACTCTACTTCCAAAGGTTATAGCAGATTTTCTCAAGTTGACTGCCTGACCAGAGATCTTTATATAATTTATATATGTTGATTTGAATCATTTAATAAACTAATTATTTTGTATGTAGATAATTTTTTTTTTAAAAGTAATCTTGTATAACAACAGAGTGAAAGTATAATTTGTGTGTGAAAATGTGTAAATTTAAATGTTATATATTTAGCATATCAAAATTAAGTAACATATTCGTCTTCAATTTCTTTTTTTGTGGTTATTTGACTTCTTCAATTGTTTCTCCACTTTCATTTAGATTGTCCGCTTTACTTTGTTTTAAATTTTTCCATGTATTTGATATTTTTATTTTTCTTGTTTTATTTCCTTTAGAAGCATTGGTTTCTTCTATCATGTGTTAGTGTTTTTTTTTATAATTTTTCTGATTTGTATTTACAAAAAAAAATTATTCCATATATATTGTACATCTTCATTAATACTTTGGTTGTATGTGATATTTGTAACTGTTAATCCAATTAAACTTGACTGATAATTGTAGGATGTGACTTTAACCTTAAATTTAAAAAAAATTACGATAATCTTTTCTGAAAAATAGGAGATAATTGCATTATGACTTGAATCATTATATATATGACTGTTCCTGCATATAGTAATTTTAAATATTGATTTTGACTATACACCTTTGTTTAATAATTATTATAAGTGTTACACTTACGTGAAACTGAATTAAGCATATTGTCGATTTATCTAAAATATGGATCATGTCTTTGTTAAATGTGGATGATAATAGTGCATCCAAGTTATCTTCGACAACAATCTCAAGTTTATACATATTTTAATATATTTGGCATGAATAATCTGTTGGTAATAAAATTATAAAATTTTGTTTTTCTATGTTACAATAATATGCCAACAATACAAGGTTTTGTGCATTTTTTGCAAGTAAGTATTTTATCACTTTTCAAAAATATTTTAGCGCAATGATTACATCATATGTAATTCCATCATTTTCTTGAATTAATTTAAATAATTTTTCCTTCAATGATAAACTCTTTTTCCTAACAATCAAAGTTGCACAATAAGTTCAGGTTGTATGTAATTACTAATTTATTAATTTTTAAAAAGAAAGAAATGTTTTTTTACCTTAAACAAATCTTTGGGTTGTATGTAATTACTAATTTACTAATTTTTAAAAAGCATTAAATGTTTTTTTACCTTAAACAAATCTTTGGCAACGATGTTTAATCGATCTTTTTCGATACTTTCAACAAACCATACTATTAATCGATCTTTTCCGGTACTTTCAACAAGCCATACTAACACATTACTACCAGAGTACTTTCAACAAACCATACTATTAAACGATCTTTTTCGGTACTTTCAACAAGCCATACTAACACATTACTACCAGAGGACGCTGCTGACATCACATCAGGGCAAAGTCCGCATGTAAATTTCAACACCTAACTGTTATTTTCAGGGTTAGGTTTTTGGCGACCATCTTTTGTTATCTGAAGATAGTTTTTAGATGGATGAGATTTGTATTATAAGTAAAACAAATAGAGTTAGTTCAGTTGATATTGAGAATTAACAACAAAGAGTCTCTTCCAATTTCATCACTGATGTGGCAACCTGGTCATACAGTGTCTTAAAACCAACATAAAAGCCAATAGAATCTCTTTCAGAGGGTAAAGACTTTGCCTGAGAGTTACTGGTCCAATAAGAAAAAGAGAGAAGCTTTAGCTTTACTAATCTTCATCCTCATACTCCAAATCATCGGAACTAACTCCTCCCATCACGGATAAGTAAATAACAACGGCTAGAAACTGAGCTGCGAGAAAGAATCTTGCTCTCTTCTTGAATTTTTTCTCCTCTTCGCTCTTTTCTGCCTTTGGTTTGCTCTTTGGCTTTGAACCTGAACAACAGATAAGATTCATTTGCTCCACAGGCTTAGACATATATGAGATGAATAATGAGAATGAGTACATAAATCTAAAGGTTTGGATGTGTCTAACCCTTTCCTGAAAATGAGGAAGGGAATGAGTGAAGCGGAGGGGAAGGAGATGAGGAAGACGCTTCGAGGAACTCCGACTTGAGTTTCTCAGCATATCTCACAAGATTACTATGTTCCAGAAGTTTGCACCGAAGCACTGATGTTTCCTGATCATGCACCAGAAAGAAACTAAGTAGTAAGGAGGCCTAGATTCTACCTGATAACCTAATAAGCTGAAAAGTATACTGATGGAGTTTTGTAAAGCTGCATACCGGTAATACTTGGATGGTAAAAAGAATGTGAGAGAGAAAGAAAGCATCCAAACTCGATGGTCTGTTTGAGCATAAGAGAAAACAATGGTGAATCTTATGTTAAAGGATACAAATAAAGTTATTGATTAGAGTACCTGTCCTCAAAGAGAAACTTGTGTTCGCCTAACCTAGTCGACAAAGCTTCATATGCCTCACTTGCCCTCTTGTATATCTGTTCATTTAAAACCCTTCAAACTATAAGTAACAAATTTTCAAAAACCGCATGTGTTCTAAATTAGTACAGAAAAAGTACCAGTTTCTCTCTTCCCTCTGCGTTTTCCTTGGTGAGTCCTAAACGGTTCTTAGCCAAGTAAGTCTGCTTATAAAAGAGGACTTTGCTGATCACCCAAGGAAGATCTGAGTAGTAGATCTTAGAAGCAGATATTCCCTCGGTACCAACCCATATCTCGTAGGTAAGCGCTTCATCCAACCATGAGAGAATAAGAGCCTTCAAGGATAGATAATCAGGAAGAGAGTGGAGGTGAGAGTCAAGATTGACAATCCCATCTTTCTTCAGTTTCTCAATCACCCCTCCATCTTCATTGTTGTATGCAACATATGTCCCACTTTCAAAGTATGGCAGTTCTTCTACAAACAAACAAAAAATAACAAATGATATAACACAACTAAATCACAAAGTATGTAACTTTCATAACCAAGAATGTAATTTCACCAAATGCATTCTCCTTTAAACCTCAAACCCTATTGAAACTATACAGTAAATACTTAAAGGGTATCTTTTTTCTTAAACCTAAAAACAGCAATTAAAAATAGCTTTTAAGAACCCTAATTAAACTCTAATTAACATCAACGAGCAAGAAGAGCCCTAAGGGTACAGATTCGAATCTTTGATTCAATTACACTACACATGGAGTTCAAACCTGAATCAGGGAAGGTGGAATTGAAGGCAAGTTGAAAAGGAAGGTGGGATAGTTTGAGGTATATGTAAGCGGGAAGGCAGTTAGGGCAAGCTGTTGGGAGACCGAAGCAAGGCTTCCTCGTTACCAAAGTGAAATCTGATGTGCCTTGATCGCCTTCCATGGTCGTGTGAGAGGGCCGTGTAATTCAAAGAAGAAGCAAAACCCGCACAGATTCGAGACTAGGCGAGCAGAGAAGATCCAGTAGGGTACGGGTTTTAGAATAGGATTTATTTTTCCACCGCTCAATTTGGGCTTTAAATGGCCCATGTAATACCCAACAACGGGCTTTAAATTTGTTCTCACATATTATAGAGAGAAAAAAGAAAAGGCACAAAACATATTTTACATAATTTAACATTCAGCACAAGAGAATTTCCATGAATGAATAACAGATGTAGAGAAAATTTTATGGCTATTAAAACAGACATAAGCAAAGCCTACAATAGAGTGGAATGGAGTTTCATAGCAACTCTGATGCTGAAGATGGGATTTGATGAAAGACTGGTTGACCTCATTATGTGTTATGTCACGTCGATCTCATATCAAGTCTTTGTCAATGAGCAACCGAGAGGGCGAATTTTACCAAAGAGGGGGCTGAGGCAGGGAAATCCCCTCTCCCCCTTTTTGTTCATTTTGTGTACAGAAGCTTTGTTATCATTCCTTAACGGAGCAGAAGCGGAGAAGAAGATTGTGGGTCTTCGTGTTGCCCAGGAGAGTCCGAAGATCTCCCATCTTCTCTTCGCGAATGATAGCATTTTCTTTTGCGAGGCGAAAGTGAGCTAGTGCAAGGAGATTATGGATATTATAGACATCTATGGGAAAGCATCAGGACAAAAACTAAATGCAGCAAAATCTTCGATGTTCTTTGTAAACTGAGTGGATCACCTCCGGAAACAAGAGATAAAAGAAGTATTGGGTTTCTCTACAGAAGGAGGCATGAGAATGTACCTTGGATTACCTGAGCAAATTTGTGGCTCGAAGACCAAAGTATTCTCCTACGTACAAGATCGGCTTAATGGGAGAGTAAATAATTGGTCATCAAGATTACTCTCGAAAGGAGGAAAAGAAGTTCAGATTAAAGCGGTGGCTCAAGATGTTCCGACATACCCAATGTCGTGTTACTTGATTCCACAAGGCATTACTGATAAACTAAGGAGTACAACTTCTAATTTTTGGTGGAGTCCGAAACAGAACAGAAGAGGCTTGCATTAGATAGCATGGGACGAGATCTGTACCCCCAAGGATTTGGGGGGACTAGGTTTTCGCGATCTCCATGACTTCAATTTAGCACTTCTTGCAAAACAATTATGGCGTTTGATCCAGTATCCGAGTTCCTTACTGGCACGTACCCTAAAAGGAAGATATTACAACAATACTTCTCCCTTGGAAGATCGACGAACATACTCACCCTCATATGGTTGACGCAGTATCATGGCAGCAAGACCTTTACTCATATCGGGATTACGGAGAACAATTGGAACTGGCCGCGATATGAGGGTTTGGAGCGAGCCTTGGGTTCCTGACTCAGTGGCTCGGCCACCTAGACCTGCCAATCACATTGTCTATAGACTTCCCCAACTCCCTGTTCAGGCCTTTATTAGGAATGATACCAAGGAGTGGGATATCCAGCTTCTACGGGAATTCTTTCATCCAGATGATATCCCGTTGATACTTGGGATTAAACCCTCCCGCTCCTCTGCTCTAGATGGATATACTTGGAATCACACAAAGACAGGAGTCTATTCAGTTAAAACCGGATATAATCTACTCCAACTGAGCAAGACGAGCCCTACAAATGAAATGGTTCTCGAACCAAGTGTCAAAGGCCTCCAGAGTCATGTATGGAAGTTAAAGGCTCCAAGCAAGATGAAGCATTTTTTGTGGTAAGCTATTTCGGGCTGTGTGGCGACAGCAGAGAGGCTAACTTATAGACACATGGGCACCGATAGGAGTTGTCCTAGATGTGCTGGCCCAGTGGAATCGATTAACCATCTTCTTTTTGAGTGCCCCCCTGCCATGCATGTTTGGGCTTTATCGGACTATCCGTCCATTCCGGGTGACTTCCCGAGTATATTTACTTACCAAAACATGAACTTTCTGTTTTGGAAGCGAAAAGAAGTGGCTCCTCGGAGACCACAATTTGATACCTTCCCATGGATTTGTTGGTATATTTAGAAGGCAAGGAATGACAAACTCTTTAATGGGAAAGACGTATCTCCAATGGACACTATTCAACATGCGTCTCTTGAGGCAGAATGTTGGAGGAAGGCAAACGAGAAGGAGGAAGTAAATGAAGATCATGAGGTACTTCCTAGTTTAGAGCCCCCTAGGATCCCCCAAATCCCTACATGCCAAATTGATGCATCATGGATCGATAATGGTAGTGTCAATGGCTTAGGGTGGAGTCTTAAGGATCAAATGGGTTCTGAATGGTTCGGATTACGGGCGTGTGGAAGGAGCCTATCAGCTCTGCATGCCGAGATGGAAGGCCTACTATGGGCAGTCTCATGTATGGGAGATTTAAGGATGATTTCGATACGGATTGAGACGGACTGCTCAGATCTAGTGGACATGTCTAATAGACCGGAGGACTGGCCGGCTTTCGCGACAGAAATCGAGGTGTTTCAGCGACTACGTGAGGACTTCGAGGATGTGAGTCTATCTCATATTTCGCGGAGTAGAAATGGATGAGCGGATGCACTAGCTAAAGAAACAAGGAGTAGAGGCTATTCATTTTCCTATATAGATCAGACTCGGCCAGGCGAAGTTTTTCCTCGGAGAATCGACTCGACTGATCACCACTTGATTTAAGAGTAAATGGGCGGTTGACAAAAAAAAAAAAATTTAACATTCAGAAGAGCATAGCCATTCGTAACAAATCTCACTGGTATACGTTTTTATGCGCTTCTCCCTTTTGAAAATCATATAGATATTTTTGTATTTCATCAAAATGTAGAATTTTCATAAATTGAAAACAACTACACGCGAAAAGAAAAGTGAAAAAAAAAAGTTTCTAAAGTTCTCTCTAATTGCCAAGTAATCCTCCCTAGAAATTGGGATATGCCATTGTTGACACCAAAAGAGAATCTCCTTTACAAAAAGATGACCCAGTCGCTCAAATAAATACAATAGTTAGTCGTTTTGGGTAAAAAAATGAGCTCCAACCAATAACCAACGAAAAAAAATCATATACAACTGGGTTGAGAACTTGAAATAACAGTGTCTCGTTGATTGTAATCAGTGTCCCATCTTTTTTTCTTTTCTTTTTTTGCCAAAATGGCTCAAACTTAAGAATTGTTAGTAAGAACTTTTTTTCATTAATATGATATTTACAATTTAGTAAAAAGAAAAAAAAACTCATATACGAATTCTATTTTGAATGATATTTTATAAAAGCATTTCTAATGGTGTTTCATTTTCTACTTTTTATTTCATTGTTTGTTCTAATGATATTTTTTTCTTTCATTTTTTTTCATTTTTCGAAGAATTGAACAGTACTCCTATTCACTTCTTTATTTTTTTAAGAATACTTTTTTAATTACAGATTGGTTTCTTAATTTTAATTTGTTCTTAGTTGTTACTTAAATAAATTAAAAGATCCACCATCATCAATTTAATCTCAAATTTTATGTTAGAATTTTTATTTAATCAATTTAAAATATTAAATATACTAAAACATATATTCTTTAGTAAAAACATATTTTAGATGGAACAAAGTTACATAATTAATATAAAACTGAAATACATGGTTAACAACAAACTAAAAAAAAAAATATATATATATATAAATGGGAGAATTTCAATTATACCACTTTGGTGGTACTACTTTCATGTTTACCATCAACAAAAGAACATTTTCAAAAATACACATTTTATTAAAGGATAAAAGACTCTGATATCTTTGTTCTTTATATATACTAGAGTCTTTCTCCGCGCTACGCGCGGATACATGAATAAATAGTTTAGGTTAGAATCATTATTTTCAATACTATTTTTGGATTGAAAACATTGTATTTTTCTAAAAAAATATGGAAAAAAATTGGTGATTATTGAGTGTTTGTACTTTTCTATAAATAAAGATAATAGTTTAAATGATCATAAATAATGTAAGAAAGAGATAATGTATTTTGGAAAAAAAAAAGAGTATTAACAATAATGTGGACCATATGAGAGAAATAGCCTGAAAATAGTAAAGATTATGTTAGTTAACTCAAATTGAAAAAGATATCAAGACATCTTAATTTAAATAGAAAAGATACATACCTGACCTAGCTGGGTAGAGACTATGTATAAGTCATTCTTTATGTGATCGTACTTTCCTTTGATTGATATGTTGCGCATTGTAAATATGTTGAATGATGGAAGCTTATAAGAACATACTTTTATCAATACTTAATTTTTATACGAAATTCTAAAATTGAAACATATTTTTTTAAATAGGTTTATTTAAGAGTATTTTAGAAAAAAGAATGTTTGGCAAAAATAACAGACTTATGTGATACTATAAACCAAGTTGATTGGGTTTCACAAAATATTATCTTTTGTTTCTTTCATTATCTTTTTTGGTAGTAAGAAGTATGCGAGAAATAAAGGTTCACCACTGGATTTTAACTTGACTTGGCACGGGCAGATTTTTATACCCAAATACATAACCTAAAGCACTCCATCTATATATAACTCACTCGTTAAGAATGTAAATTTTAAAAAACCTAAGAGATAAATAAGGAAAATATCTTATTTAGAATCTTGTGAGATATTCTTTAACGCTTATCATATATATCATAATTTTTTTTAATATTTGAACAATGAGGATGATCTTACATCTAACATGCTTATATTAGAAAGGCTGAATGTCATTGGTTCAAAGTATCCTTTCTACACAGTTTTTAGTGTTATTCGGATATTGTAAGTTTTTGACCATAAATTATAATATTTTAATAGATTTTTTTTTATTTCAGAAATTCATGTTAAAATTTGATTTTAATTTTAATTTTTTTTTTTTTGCAGAGATTCTCCTATTAAAGTAATATTATTATTATTTTGGATTATACAAAGCTTCAGATTTAGGATGATGACGTTTTACTCTTCCTCGTTGTTGATCAGCCCATGGAATCATTCGCT